TTTTCTGAGATGATCATATGGTTTTTGTCTCACTCTGTTGATGTTATGTATTATATTTATTGATTTTTATATATTGAATCTTCTTTGACTCCCTGAGATAAATCCCATTTGAGCACGTTGTATAATCTTTCTTATGTTCTGATGGATTTGATTTGTTATTATTTTGTTGAGAATTTTTATATTTATTTTCATCAGAGATATTGGTCTATATTTCTCTCTTTCTTTTTCTTTTGTTGGTGTTGTCACAGTGTCTTTGTCTGGTTTTCATACCTTGGTAATACTGGCTTCACTGAATGGGTTTAGAAGAATTCTCACCTGCTTTTGTTTTGGGGTTTTTTTTGTTGTTGTTTTGTTTTGTTTTGAATGGTTCTTTTTTGTTTCCACCAGTCCTAAACAATCTGTAATGAACTTTGCCCAGTCTCAATCAGATTCTTTGAGCCACTTGAGCCCAGACCTCAGTCTTAAAAATAGGTGCTCCAAGTTCCCCCTTCTAGACATTATGACAGCTCTGTAAGAAACCTCTTTTCCTTACCTCAGCAGGTTAACTAAGCTTTGCTTGATCAATAGATCATTGGGTTGATCCTTGTGGCTATGCCACTCCGCATGCTTTATACCAGATATGTAAAAACTACTCACTTTTCCTTAAACAAGATAGTTAAATTTCACTACTATATCTATCCACACACATTCTGTCTGGTCCCTTCATCTGGAATTGCCTTCTCTGTTTGCTTACTTTCTGAATTTCTATTTATTCTTTAATACTCAACCAAAATGTCAACTTTTACTCTTTTTCTCTCCATTTTTGAAAATTCTAAATAGAATTAATAGCTTTGTGCTTCAAAATGCATCTTGATCATTTAGTTGTCAGCCTTATCATAGTCATGATGTTTGTCAACATGCCTGAAATCCCTGCTGGACTACCAACCTCTTGAGAGCTAGAACTGTCTTATTTATCTTGGCTTACCCGAGGTGCCTCAGAATGCATGACCTGTAAATGTTTGATGAATGAATGAGTTACTGAAATATAAAATATCTTAACTTGATGAACCAAGGAAATCCTTTAATGTTTTAGCTTATTTTTTAAATTCAAAACTGTGAAGAAGAATTCGTGGACGAACCTGAGTATTTGATGTTTCAGTTCATGATCTCAGTTATGATCCCCTGTATCTTTAATCTTTGGAATTATGCTGTCCAAAGACAATCTGGGGCAAGATGCTGTGTTCTTTGCACAAAGAGTAAAAGAAAACTCAATATTTCAATGGAAAATTATCATTGCCCCTTGTAACAGGCAAGGGAAATGAAGCTTAGAGAAGTAGTGACATATCAAGCCGGGAAAAGTAGAGGAACCTGAATCAGATCCCCCAAATGGTACCACCAATCTTATACTGTTTTCTGCCAGTCTGCACAGCTCTGCTTAGAGTAATGACTGAAATGAACTCTGTCTCACCTAAGCTGAGTTTCTGTGCTAAGATATACCAAGGTTCTAAAATCCCATCTCTCTTCCCCCTCCTGTAGTTCCCTACTTCTTTGGTCTGAATCCGTTTCACAGTGTCTTCCAAATCATCTATAACAGAGGGTTTCTTAAAGATTAATTTAGAGGGCTGGGGCCGTAGCTCATGTTAGAGTGCTTACCTTGCACATGTGAGGCATTGAGTTTGATCCTCAGCACCACATTTTTTTTTAAAAAAAAAGAATAATTTAGAAAATTATTTACAATAATCAACTTGGAATTCTGCTTTTTAGAGGGAGGGAAGTCTAGCTATAACATACAAGGGTATCAGAGAGAAAAACATGAAAGAAAGAGTGGAGGAGGGAGGGACAAGAGGGGTTTTACAAACACTAGTAGGGTCAGTATAATTTGTGGTAACTGAAAACTGGAAAGTAATCAAATCAGCAACTATAGAATAGAGAAACAAAACATAGACTGTCTAAATAATGGACTAGTAAACAGAAAATAAACCAAAACTTCAAGCAATAGGTACGAGACTTACAGGAAGGGAAGCCAGATTACACTTAAAAGATTTCGAAAGAAGGCCAAAATAACATATTGTGTTAGAAGACAGGATAGTGTTTATTTTGGGAGTGAGGAAATGACTGAAAGGGGGCATGGTAGGGCTGCTGTGACATTAATAATGTTCTGGGTATTGTCTATTTATATGTTTTTGTTAATTTGTTTAATCTAAGGGGTGGTTGTGCAGATATGTTTTGAGATAATTCATTGAGCAGCACCTTAGGACTTGTGCCGTTTCCCATGCTTGATAACGTACACAGAGACACACACTTTTGGGGAATCAGTTATATTGGTCAGTTTTACTGCAGTAAAAACCAATCTTCCAACTCTCTGTAGCTTACAACCTAAATATTCATTTCATTGTGGTAAACAGAATTCGAAGACGGCCCCTTTGGTCTCTATCCCCTGATGTTACTCCTGTGATTATGTTGATTACATGGCAAAGGTATTTTGTACTGATCAGCTGATATTCTGGTAGGGAGATCATGTGGGTGGATCTACCCCAATCACACAGCCCTTCAAAAGCAGAGAGTTTTCTGGCATTCAAAGATTTTCCAGGGGGAGTTCAACGTGCTATTGATGGCTTGAAGACAGAGAGGGCCACATTTAAAAGACCTGAGAACAACTCCTGACCAACAGCAAGAAAATGAGACTGCTGTCCTACAGCCACAAGGAAAATAGCTTGTGCCAACAACCAGTGAGCTCAGAAGAGAACGCCAAACCCTGGGAGAGAACTGCAGCTGAAACCTTGATTTCGGCCCAGAGAGGCTCCTGAGCAAACAACCTGTTTCCTAAGCTGACCTTCAGAAACTGTGAGATAACAAGTTTGTGCTGTCTTTCAACTGCTAAATCTGTGGTATTTTAAAATACAGCAACAGAAAACTAACACACACTTCTTCACAGGTTAGCAGCTTTGGGTTGGTAGCAGCTGAGGTTCAACTCTATCCCACATACCTCCACATTCTCAATCCCTGAAATGCCCTATTTGGTACATTTACATGGCAGAAAGGAAAGAGCAAGTGAGCTGACAAAACCCATGCAGGCTTTGAAAAAACATGGTGTTCATCACGTCCACGCATGCTCCAATGGCCAAAGCTCCTAACGTGGGCTTGCCCAAAGTCAATGAGGCGGGATGCATGATCTTATAGCAAAGGGCAGATTGGACAATTTTGAAAATTAATAAAATATGCCATCATGGAATGCTATAACTATGGCCTAATTAGAAAGAAAGGCTTTGTTTTGAATCTTGGTATCACCACCTTACTAGTTTTGTGTCCATAGAGAAGTTAGAAAGTCTCTCTGAGCTGTAGTCTCTTGAACAGTAACCAGTCCTTCCAGGATTGGTGTGAATGTTAAATATATGAGCACAATGCCTGATACAGCTAATGTGTAATTGATAAATATTAGCCTTTGCCTCTTGTATTCAGGATTAACTGGAACAGAAGCCACATATAAACATCCCCCCTTTCCCTGATTTTCATTATAAATTTACAGCAGAGTCTCAAATGCATAGCACCTTTACATATTTTATCTCCTTAAACAGTACAGTAACAAATCACTTAGAGTAAAGGGGAATATAGTATTACTCTTTTGAATGGGATCATTAAGTGCAATCAATATCAGAAGTGGATTACTTTATAATTACCTTTCCAATTTGATGATTCACTTTTAACACATAGTCTTGGCTTGTGAAAATGTTGTCATATGCCACAGTTATTTCAGTTGGAGAACTGTCCAAGTCAAACAGTTAATATTACTTTGTTCTTGGATTATTTAGACTTTACAACTTGTCAAAAAATGATTTTAAAATCTAACTCTGGTTGGTAGTTTGCAAAATCTCTCTCTTTTAAAAGTAACAATTGTTAATTGTTATTATTTAACCCTGAATCAACTATGTAAGGTTTTTAACATTGTTAGCACATGAGCACAATTTATCCTCTCTCTCTCTCTCTCTCTCTCTCACACACACACACAAATACATATACTTGCATGTATATATTTCTAATTCTAGGTAATACTTTTTTTACAAAATTAGTTAATATATTATATTCTGTATTCTAACCTGCCTTTTCATCTAGTCATATCCATGTGTACCATTATTTTAATAATTCTATGTATACTTTCCAACAAGTACCTTATTATTGGACATATATTAGACATATATTATATATTAGATATAAGATATATTAGACATATATTCTAATATCCAATAATATTATATTAGAATAATAGTCTCTTGATAGTCCATTATAGTCCCATTAGTCCATATACATGAATTGAAGGAAGCCAGGGGATGGGGATTAGTGTTCAGGGCACCAGTCAGAGTTGGTCTTACCCCACCCCACTCCTTGATCAGACCCCATACTTGGCAGCTCTGCTCTTAAATTTCCAAATTTATACTAGAAATATCAAAAAATAAATAAGCCTAGATTCTCTCAGAATGGGTAAGACTTTTTTTTTTTTTTTGAAATTTTGACTAGTCATTTTGCAGTATCAGGATTTGCCAGATGGTATATAAAAGTAATTACATCTTATATTCATTAATTTCTCTTTCCACGATTTGTCTTTCCTGACTGGTTCTCTGTTAAAGGGTGTCAAAACTAGATAAAGTGCTTCATACTTCAGATGTACCATGTCCTATGTCTGGGATTATCCTAGAGGGGCTTGTGATCAAAATACTCAGGTGTCATCTTTCTTTTCCCCTGAAACCCAAATTGAAAAAGTAGTCATGTGTTCTGATTGCTCTTCTTTTGCCTCAGACCAAGGGAATGACTCCTCACAAACTCCCGAAAAGAACTCACAATGATGATTCACGATGCCCTGAATCCAGCCATTGTTACAGAAACATGACTGCCATTATGGGTGAAATAATTACATATTATTATTTTTTTACATACAAAGAATTAAATGGAAGTCTCCATCTGCCTTAGTTAAGGGCTCCCTTTGGACAGCCTGGGAGGCCAATTACCCAGAAACTGTGGACACTGACCTCTAGCCTGGCCCCCTGGTCCCAGTCTTGCGTCCTCTCCTCTGGGCTCTGACTGCAGTGCTTTTGATGAATGTGCTATTTTTGATCTCTTCAAAGAGGAGCTGTTAAAGGAAAGAGAAGATTATTTGCAAGTGGGTAGGAAAATGTTCCAACAAAAGAATGAAATGAAATAATTAGCTTCTTTATCTTTATAAGCACCAGAACTGCAGTCCAATCTTTAGGCTGTAGTGATCAGTGAAAATAATGAGCCTTCCCATGTGAGGAAGAGTCATCTTCAGGCACTCTCCAATAACAGTTAGGACCACATTCTCCTTTGCCCTGGGGAAGATGTTGGCTGTGTGACTGCAAGTGTATTATAGGATATTTCTCATTGATTAAAACCTTTTAAAATGGGGACTACTTGAGTGGAAGAGCCAGATAAAATAACAAGTTGTAAGTGAACCAAATATTTTTGGTTGTTTGTTTTGGTACTGGTGACTGAACTCAGGAGTACTTAGGAGTATTCTACCACTGACATACACCACCAGGCCCCAATCACCTTTTTGGGGGGAGAGAGGAAAAGATCCACTAAGTTGTTGAGGCTGGCCTCAAAGTTATCATACACCAGCCTCAGACTTCTGAATACCAAAATTTTAACACATGTCTCTTTAAAAGTAGAAAGGTGAGATATTTGTGAGGTAGATTAATTGATTATTAATTTTTACCATATATAAAAGATATTGTTATGGCTCAGACTAAAACTCAACAAAGCCCAGCATGCTCACCACCACAGTATTCCAGTGAGCTTGATTTTGACAGTAATCTAAAAGCCATGATGGAGGGCCTCTTAAATTTGACCTGTGTTGTATTGCTCTGCATAATGAAAAGATGTTATGGCTTGTCTATTCCTCAGATAGAGGTTTTGGACAATATGTTGTAGACAAAAGACAAATGGACATGTGGAAAATGTGCTGAACAGAAGAATAAAAAAAAAAAAAAAAAAAGAAACATTCGGGTATGACCCTAATTAGCTATAAACTAGTTGACAACTTTGTCCAAAAGATGAAAGATGCTGCGGCTGTTATCAGAGATGGAGGTCTCTTCATTTTCACCTTGAGGAGAGATCTGGAGAAGGGGAACTGGTAGGTTTGCTGCAGTCCTGGGAGAACTTATATGACAATGGTTGCTGCCAATGAAGGAAAAAATAGCTAACTTCCAGGAAGGGGAACAATAAGAATCAGCCAAAGAAATTAATTAAGGAATGGAGATAGTGGGATAGGAAGGACAAGAGTTACAAACAGTGAGGAGGAAAGTGAAAACATTGAAGTGAAAAGAATGATTTACATTGTGAAGATGCTAAATTGGCTACTTACCTTCTACCTCTTTGTCTCAGACCTAACACTAAATAACACTACCCTCAGGAAACCTTCTGCTGTTACTTGAGTAAGGTACTGTCATTGGGCTCTTGGAGCTGTGTCTCCTCATCACAAAAGTTGGCAATGGCCTAAGTATGCTTGTCTGACTACCAGCAGACCCCAACCTTAAGCGTTCAGTGGTGGGCCAACCTTGCTTCCTGTTATGGCTTGAGGAATTGGAACAATGTCTGGATCATTTAAGTGTGCCAAATGTATGATAAATGAATAAATCTCTGGGGAAGGCTGTGAATATGGTAAACAGAGAGGAACAGATTTGTGGAGGTGACCACAGCACACAGGTGGAGAGTTGGAGCAGTATGGCAACATTAAAAAGCACCGCAGGGTGCCAAAGTGGCAAAGAGTGGCCGTGTGCTGATCACAGAGGCCCCAGAAACGTGTGAGGAAGATTAGAATTCATACTGAGAGAAGACATTAGCAGGAAAGTTGGGAAGAGATGTGATTAAATTTGCATGTTTAAAAAGAAGTAATTTTCTGCAACCTGGAAAAACAGATTGGAGAGGGACCAGCCTGGAGTCAGGGAGCCCATACAGAAGTTGTTGTTGAAATCTATGGGAAATATTTCAGAGATTCAACCTCAGTGATGCAGGAAGGATGGAGAAAGTGGGTGATTTAAGAAATCTTTCAAAAGTTTGTTTGATATTGATTGGAAGAGCATAGGACTCAAGACTGATGTCTGTGTTTTAGGCTTGAACAAATGGATACAGAATAGTACCATTAACCAAAATAGGGAAAGGAGGAAGAGAAGCATTTTTGTAAATTCAGTTTCAGGAAGTCTGAAGTCCATGAGTCAATGCAATATCCTAGAGGAGATGTGCAGAGGCAGTTGGATGTGAGCATCTTGAGAACTCAGGTAGAAGACAGAGCTGGAGACAAGTCATTGACGTGGAGGTGGTAATGAAGGCCAGAGGAAGTGATGGGATCATTCAGGGGAGCGTGTGGAGGGAGGAGACAAGAAGAATCAGAACTCTTGAAGAACAGATGCATTTTTTAAAAGTCGAAAAAAGGAGCGTATAAAGAATAGTGTGATGGAGGAGACTGAGAGGTTCATGGAAGATGAGGAAAGAATTATGTCAATAGGGAAGTGACTAGCCGAGCTTCCTCTATAATGACCTGAGCTAGAGCAGTAGCAGTGGGAAAGAGAGAGGAGAGGAGACATTGAAAAAATATATGAGACACTAGCTTTTGAAAATTGCTATGAAGATCAACATTTCCAAAAGTTAGGTTGACAAGTTGAATGGGTCTATTCAATTTAGCATTAAGGAAGTAATTGGCAGCCTTGATGAGAACAGCTTCAACAAAATTAAAGGGTCAGAAGCCATATGGCTTTCTGTTGAGAAGTGAACAGAAGGCAAAGGGAACACAGAGAATGTAGACAAATATTTCCAGAAGTTTCACTATAATGGAGAAAATTCTTTTAGTTTTCAAAGCCCTTAAATATTCAATCTATAGGAAGAAATAACTGGCAATTAGTGGTGGGCTAAAGAAGAACAAAACAGACCCCAAAGAGCTGTGGATAATTCCAATACCTTGGAGATGGCAGTCCCACAGACAGAAGGTGGAGGAAAGTGAGTTTGGTGGGGAAGTTCAACTTTAAACCCATATGTCAGATGGTGTTTTGCCAAGTGAAAATCTACAAAAGCAAATAAACAGAGAAGAATATGGTAAACAGAAGCACTCTGGACCTCTGAAGAATTCTACGCAGTAGTGGAAGCTAAGGCAATTAACAGGTGTAAGACCTTCCAAGGAAAGAATGTGAATAAAACCAACAGAAGACTAAGGACAGTCACACAGCAGTACACTGTCATCCAGGAACTTAGTGCTATCTACTCTTCCTGAGTGAATAACTGGATAACAGCAGTCAAGTTCTCCTCTTTATGCAGACTTTTACTCCTTTACCACTAAGTTATCTTAAGTATAGAGAAAATCTAAATCAGTTCTCCCTCATGCTGACTCCAGACTATATATTGTGCGAGACTCTTGACATTACTACTTGAAATTTATTCAGTTAAATTTAGTCAAGTGCTTTCAGCATTTTCTGTAAGATATAATTTCTATGTGTGGTATATTTCCCACTATAAATGACTGTTTCAATAATGAGCATAATTATGAGAGTTACAGAGTTCACCCAGGCACTCTGAATGAATGCAAAAGGGCACAGTATGTTTGGGCAACACCCAATGTGTGGATGACAGAAGTTTAGTGAATATGGAGTACTCTTAGTGTAATGTGAGAGCTGAGGGTAAAACTGTGGGTGGGAGTCAGATCATGCAGGTCTTTAACATTCTAAGTACTTTCAGCTTCATTCTCTACACAGTAGGAGCAACTGAGTTTTTGTGAACAGAGGAGTGGTAGGGATAGATATGAGTTTTAATGCAGTAATGCTGGTAATGTGGTCTAGACAGTTGGCTCCAAAATACATTCATTAACTGAGTGAAAAAATGATGGCAGAAGACTAAGTGGTCCCATAAAAGGGGCTGCTTATGGGAGGTACAGTGGATGGTCTCTCATTCAGTGAATCAGAAACTAAAATTTGGTCATTTTTAAAGGTTGCTCAATCAATGATTAAAAATGTAAGCACTTATATTAGGCATTATATTTTAACTTAAGACATACATGGCATATTCACATACTGATTGTATGATAAGAGTACTAATTCCTTTTTTTAAATATAACTGGAGTTTAGTACCATTTTTCTTGTATAAACTATGCTCACGTTTCTGATTCTTTGAAATGAAATGAAAGGTAGAGTGCAAATCTTTAAGACATTTTTTTAAAGAGAGAGAGAGAGAGAGAATTTTTTAATATTTATTTTTTAGTTTTCGGTGGACACAACATCTTTATCTTATTTTTATGTGGTGCTGAGGATCGAACCCAGCGCATGCCAGGCAAGCGTGCTACCGCTTGAGCCACATCCCCAGCCCAAGACATTTTTATAATTTTTCCCCAATCATTTTGGTTCATCTTTCTCATTACTTATTTAGAGTATAATATTTTCAGCCACTTACTCTTTTGGAGTCTTTCCAAAATATTTAACTTCATTTTCACAGGAATAGCTCTCTTTCACACTCATATTCATTGGTTTATGTAATCTTTAATTAAGTATTGTAACAATAAAAAGCACAACTGCACAGCCTGATTCATAAACAAAATACAAATGTTTCTTGGTACATGCACTAAATTGATGCATCCAGAAAAGCCCATCCTACCACTCGCCCTAGTGATTAGTGTAAAAGGGAACTGGAGAGTGTAGCTAATGAAGTGATTTGAGTAACTGGGAAGTGACTAGCCAAGCTTCCTCTATAATGACCTGAGCTAGAGCAGCAGCAGTGGGAAAGAGAGAGGAGAGGAGACATTGAAAAAAATATATGAAGACACTAGCTTTGAAAATAAATAGGCTTGAGTTCAAATGCTGACCTCAGTCACTTAGCTGTGAAGTTTCTGTTTTCTTATTTGTAAAATAGAATAATGTGGTATGTAGTTAAAAAGAGTCATTGGGAAGATGGGTTTTATGTACTTAGCAATGTGTATGACACAAATAGGTAATTAATATGCTATGAAATCAGTGGCATTTGGTGAAGTGTCAAAGATGACTCTTTATTTCTTACTTTGGGTGAAAAAGATGATCCCGCTCACTGAAGTAGGAAGCACATGAGAAGTAATAGATTTGACAAAAAATAAAAATAGTT